CAACAATGAATAAAGCATAAGTATATAAAAATTATTGACATAAATATAGGATTATTATTCTTCAAATTCTGAGAAAATAGAAAATAAAAATTAGAAAGTAAATAGAAGTTCGAAAAAAGAAGAAATTTAAAAACAGCAATGAAATTTACAAATTTATACTTAAGAAAGTATAGAATTTTTCTACGAATTCTTTGCAAATGATTGGAACTTGAGACCACGTAGCTTTTCTATTGATTGATGTCTAAATTCTTCTCTTGGTATCATCTTACCAGTGAACTCAATTATAGCGCATATTTTCTCCTGATGGTAGACTAAGTTTGTAAGACCTTCTCTCAAACTTTTTTCCAAATAATCAAAGTCTTGTGACATCTCATCTCATCTAAACATAAAGTCACGATCATCTAAAACCAAAAGCACATATCCAGAATGGTCTACAAACAATGGGCAAAGCCCAGTAACATTAAACATTTCGTGAAAGTATTTCAAATAATCAGAATATAAAAGATCTTCATCTTTTTCATCTGTAACTTCATGAAACCTGCGATCATTCTTTAGTTTATCTATTAATTCAGACAGATCTGGCAGTTCTGGTGTGGTAGTTTTACTACTTTTTTTCTATACATCTATCGTGCGAGATCTGACTAGAAGATTTTTCCACTTGGATAGAGCAGTCTACAGATTCATTTTTGAGCAGTTCCTGAGCTGCCATGTTTCTAGTACTGATATACAGTTAAAATAATAGTTAATAATTATAATATACGTAGAAATTTCACCTTCTAATAATATACCTCTTTGAGATGGTTTGGGTTTATCGTTGTAGTGTTAATTGTTGTGAAATGTTAAATTCTTAAAAGTGTGAGTTATGGTGAAATGGCCGATATCCAATAAAATCAAACATATAGTCTCATATAAATCTGTAATATTGCGTAATCATGATGTCTTTTTTTTAAAAGTTATATATTTAAACTAGATAGCTGTGCGACGTTAACGTTATCGCAAAAAGAAAACAGTTGATTATTAACTTGACTGCTAGATAAAATTATATGTAAGAATCGATTACTCTACTTTTCAACTTATTACTTTTTCATCAATCAAATTAATTAATTTAGACTGATTTTTATTAGTGTATATAAAGTAATTTTCTAGGTGCATACTATTAGTAAATGATGAAAAATAATGATCTCGGGTTTTTTTTTTATCAAAGTTAATGTCCTTCCAATGCTGCTACAAGTGATATTAACTCTGATAAAAGGAACTTCCTGTCAATTCTTGACTTAATAAATTGCTATTAACAATTTTTTTATGAAACTTATAATACAATAACTAAAGAAAAACTATATCGTAAGATAATAATTATTATTAATGTTAAAATATATTAAAAATCTGATCTATAGCATAAACTGAATTATTAAAGAACTTCCAACCTACAATATTTAAAAATGGCCAATCCGTAATATTCAAAAATAGGTAACCCATATATTTTTTGAATATTAATAGAAAGTAATCATGTTTATAACAAAGATTAGTGATAATAATATCCTGGCTTACCAGAAATTATTTTTTTTATTCTGAGTTGTATTAATATAAACTTTATAGAGCATCCTATTTATTGGTTAATTTTCATTATAACTTATTATATACCACTGTACCGTAAATTCAATTGCGAGAATAACCACATCAATTAATGATTAACATAAATTGAAAAATGACATAGAACAATAAGAATTTTGGATTTACTGAATCACCATAGTCATTCTCCAACTAGTATTTCTAGTTGGTAAAATTTTGCTAATCAACTAGTTTCCAACTAAAGTTGCCAACTAATCAATTATTTATATCACATGATATTTTCAGATATTAGCCAATCAAATTTAAGAAATTATTACGAATTATCCTGAATAAGCGAAATATCTTAGAATTATATTAATTGAATAATTAGTTGTTTAGTTGTTTAAAAAATTTTCAAATCAACTAGTTGGAAAGTTGGCAACTAGTTGGTTTTTCAACTAACGATTTGGAACACTATCTCCAACAAGTTACTTGTTGTGTTCCAGTTGTGATGCAATAAAATCATCCTAATGATAGTTGATATTGTTGTAACTTGTCATAACTATAGTAAGAAATATATTGAGTTACGCCATTGTAGCCATAATTTTCTATATTACTTACTATCCCTTACTCTGTAATCTGAATTGCTAGTGCATAGATACCCAATCATCTTCACATTTTTATGCCCCCAAAATTGCTTGCGCAGTTCTGAGTTATGTCGGCAATACAAATACTTATATCAAAAGTCGAATATTTTATACATGTCTGATATTTTGAGATAGTACAGAATCATAATTTTCAAAGGGCCCCCAAAAAGTAAGTGAAGAAATAAAAAGATAGAGAGGCCGTATGCTAAAAAGAATAACAATTTTTGAAGATTATCGAACAAACCGATTTAGTCTTCTTATAATGCTATATACCCTTAGATTAATAATTTATCAAAAAAATACAAATTGCAGGCAAATTTGCCTGCAAAACAGAGTAAGAGATAGTCATGACAGGTTCCCGAACATGTACAATCCCCAACAGGTCATAATCCTGACAAAAAAATCCAACAATCAAAATCTCAACAATCAAAAATCTCAACAAGCAGATTTTTCAAGTAGAAAATCCTGAATATGGGCATATTTAAAGTGAAGTAACTTCTTATAATTTAATTAACTTTAAGGTTAGGTTACTTTAGATAAGAGTTAGGCAAGGGTTAGCTTATTTTTTGTCAGAATTTTTAATTATCAGAATTTTTAACTGTTAGATTTTTTACTGTTTAGATTTTTGCTGTCAGGATTTTTTTGTCAGAATTATGACCTGTCAGAATTTCGCTTGTTGAAATTTTGATCCAAACCCATTAAAATTGGTATCATTTCATTTAATAATGAAAATTTCTTATAGTCTTCTTTATGTTGATTATTTTGTCTTTTTTAAAAGATGTGTAGTTAAATCTTATTGAGAGAAATGTTTTTGAATAATATTATACATGTTTTTATCAAAATAATCTGAAATTTAACTAGATTATATTTAATTATTACACTTAGTATCAGATGTTTATTTTTTATTTAATAAAATATATTTGAAAAATATTAATAGTATTTTATTATAATTATATCTCTCAAATAATATAAAAATAACCTATGCACTCCAAATATAATTTCACTTGCCTGATTGAAAAAATAGAATATATATTAATTTTTAATAAAACAGTATTGTCAAGCAAGTTAAAAAAAATAGATACTTTAAATCTTTACAATATCTTTTAAATTTGTTATTTATAATTGGTTTGATATCTTTTTATATATTTCTTACCAAATTTATAAAAAAAAGAAATAGTATAGATTTAGATTTTGTAGAAAATTCTTTAAAGAACAAGCAAATACTTATATTATATATTAATAATTTTTAAAATTTGTTAAATAGAACCAACCAGGTTAAGTTGTATATATAATATATTTATTATTAAAATAAAACAACTATATCTTTTTTTATAATTTAGCAATATTATCTTTTTTATTTGGATACTTAGATTACTCAACAAATTACAAATAATTTATCTTTATAGCTTCTATTAAATACTAACTCTAAAAAGACTTATCTAGTTTATATCTAGATATAACTTGCTTCAATAAACTTAACTTTTCTTCAGATCTTTAGTTTATTAAGAGCTTGATTTTTTTAATTAATAGCTAGTATCTATTTACTAGTATTTTTCAATAGTCAAATTTAATTCTAGTTTAACTAATCTAATTAATTGATCTATGACTAAACTAAAAAATAAATAAAAGTAACTAAAATGTATTTAATTTATATATAAAACTAAAAATTATATACTATATAATTGCAAAATATTAGTATATTACTATTTACTTGTTTACTATCCCTTAATTTGTAGGCTTTTCTAAAAAAATTGTTTAAAAATTATTACAAATATATTTATAATCTATATTTTTAAATTTTAAAATATTTAAATAAAATTTTTTTAATAAAATTTGAAAATAAGAATTATATTATAGCAGTATATAATTTTATTTTATAAAAAAAATTTAAGTTGCTTATAAAATAAAAATATACTAATAGATCTGGTTAGTAAGATATTCTTGCTAAATATCTAGTTTTTATTATATTATACTAGCTTTGGATATATTCTTTTCAAGTAGTACTATTAAAAATTTGTATTACTTCTCTATTTAGATCTTGCTAAATAGATATCTATCTTTCTAGTTTTCTAGTTTTACATGATTACAGAACTTATCTTGGGTTTGTACTACTCTAAACTAGCTTGCATACCTTCAAATAACTTATATATTACACAAATGCTATATGATTTCTCAATCTTGTTAGCACTATCAAGATTGCAGAGTCTTGTTTTAACTAATTATTGAAAAATAGTAGCTATTATACAAATAAAATTTTTAAATTATCATCACTAGTAGGTTTTAAACTCCAACCTTATTAATATATTACTTAAAGAAGTAATAATTTAATTATTTTACTAAGTTGCTACATTCTACTTTTTTTTTTCTATTTGACTAAAAAAATTTTAATTAGAAGAATATTTTTTACTTAATATACAAAATTAATTAGCTTAGTAAAATTTTGTATAAATTAAAAATTTTAAAAAGTAACAAAATTTTAAATATAATTTGATTTAATTTGATCAAATTTAAATATACTTAATATTTAATATAATTTAATTTTGAGAAATTTTAATAATAACTATACTGATATTTGTATTAAAACTTTAATAAAAGATATCTTAACATTTACTTGACCAAAATTAATAAACTTTTTTATTTGAATTCTATAGAATGTTACGATTGAAAATTAATCATCACTTTATTCTAACTGAATTAAGCGATAGATCGCTTATTTGTTTATAGTAGATCAAATAGATTTAGTATATAGAGTAGATTTAGTAGATATAGTAAATTTAGTAGATTCAGTAGATATAGTATATTTAGTAGATATATAAATAGTATATATATGCAGTATTTATTATAATATAAAAGAGGGAAGAGATTACACATCTCATGAATTAATAAAGATACTTATCCGGTCAAATTCATATTTCTTTTGAGGGTAGTATTTTTCTTTTTATTATATTTGATGGTAACTGTGAGATACGAAACTATAATACTGTGTGATTGCACAAACTAGAATCTGGGTAATTGAATATTGAAGTTTAAACTTTGTGTGTCTTAATGTCGAAATCAAAACCTTGTGTAAACAAACATCAAAATCAGAGACCTGCATGTATTTAATATTGAAGTTTAAATTTTGTGTGATTGATGTTAAAATTGGAAGCCTATGTGATTAAACATCAAAGTCTAAATCTTGTATATCATAAGATTAAAATCAGAACTCTGTGTGACTAAATATTGAAGTATAAATCACTATGTTTTAATATCGAAACCAAAATCCTGTATGATCGAACATAAAGTTTGAAACTAGTGTAACTAAAGGCCCAAGTATTGAAAAGCGAGAATCAGTATGATAGTTAGAATTCAAAAAAAAAACTTAACTTAATATTGCTCAATAACATAACTAAGAAGATATGAACTTAAAGCACAACAACTTTCAAGAAGCACAAAGAACCCACGATACAAAGGATAGACTACAAAAGAATAATCAACGAATTTTTTTAAAAAAAAAAAGAAAAAAGAAAAATCA